TGAACTTAGCAGGTAATTAATAAATGCTTACTAATTGCTTGATACTCAAATTTATTAACATAGAACTAGAACAGTCTCTGGATTCAAAGGAACTGGGTTCTGATACTTACTGCCTGTGTAACATTGTAGGAGCTAATTAATTTCCCTCGGCTTCAGTTTCCTCATTGTTTTAAATGAAAGTATTGGACTAGATAACCTCTGGTGTCCATTTCACCTCTGGATTTGTAATTCTAGTTAGATTACCATTCTAGGCAACGTTTGATGAGTTTCTTGACTTCTTTTGCACTTGTGGTATTTATCCTTTCTCACATCTCATTTTGTTGGTCTGGCCTTGCTTATCTTTGGATTAGCTAATTGCTTGCCAAATTCTTAGTCTTTTCAAAAACAACTCTTGAATTTATCAATTCAATTGCTTCATTATTATCAATTATATCATCCTCTGCTATGCTCTTGATTATTTCTCTTCTGATGTTTCTTATTAGTTCATAACATTTTTGTTTCTTTTCTGAACTTTTTTAAATGCAGACTAAATTCTGTACTCTTTTTCTTAATATAGGAACTAAGGACTATGAATTTTCCTCGAACTATAGCTTTGATTCCATGCCATAGTTAGTATTTTTGAGATAATATGCTATTGCTTTTGTGATTTCTTCTTATATATAGTCATGTTAAATTACTTGTAAGTCACTTTTAAAAGCATTCATGGTGACATATACTTTTCTATCATTGTGTCAATTGTTTGTTGTTTTTTTTTTTTGCTTTTAGGCAATTGGGCTTAAGTGACTTGCCCAAGGTCACACAGCTAGTAAGTGTGAAGTGTTTTGGTCTGAGGCCAAATTTGAACTCAGGTCCTCCTGACTCCAGCGCCGGTGCTCTATCCACTGCACCACCTGGCTGCCCCATTGTGTCAACTGTTACTACTAGATTATTGTATACTGGTGGTGATGAGTTTCACCACAGAGGTACAGTTGACCAGCCAATATTGTTCTTTGCTACCTACCTCTTTTGTCTGTAGGTATTTAATTAGCCAAATCATGTTATAACAATTAGTTCTTTTTTTGACCTAGGGTCAATGTCATGGCCCTTCTGGTCCACATGGCCCTCTCCTTGGCATATTAAGTGAAAAGTAAGAAGTGTAATTTTAATAGCTCAGATTTCCTATTTGGGAAAATTCCTAACATCTAGGAAAAGGTTTGACTCTATGCCCTAATTTGATTTTATATCTAATTCTAATCCCTGGCTTCTTTTTGATTGAGGTAAAATTTCAGATTGGGGCAAAGGAACTACTGGAACATGTTATAGTGCCTTTTTAATGAATAGGCATTGGGAGGAGAAATTGGATGAAGAGCAGACTTTTTTTTTTAAATTTCTGTCATTGAAAAGGTGGGTACAACTGATAGCTTCAGTATATGTCTTCTGCTCTGAGATGCCTATAGAGGCCAATGACTCTCCTCAGTTCTCTTCTTTCTCTGCCATAGCTCAGCCTTACTTTTTTAATTTCTCTTTTAGACTGCCACCCCATGCTCTTCTTGGTGTTGTTCTTTCTCGAAGAGGACCAACAACATCACATAGGCAAGGTCTTGACTTTTGAACGAAATCGATTTGGGTGAGGAAAATCTGCACAAAGTCCTCAGCCTCACTGTCTCCTCCAGAGTTATCAAAGGCCAGTGGCAAAACAAAAGTCTGGGATGTGGTGGGCGACCTTGGCCTTTCTAAATGAAGGTCTTTCCCAGAGCTCAATTTATCTGAATCAATACCTGTGCAAAGATTAAAGCTAGGTAAGAACTGAGACAAAAGATGGCCCAACTTACCATCAGAAAATATTAAACACAGAGGTGAAGGACAATCAAGAATCTGTTCACTTGCAAGAAAAACATGCTAATCTTAGGAAAGGAGGTGAAACCCCCCCCCAACAATTTATGGATCATAGGTCTCCTAGAAGAACACAGCAAGACAAAAAATCATATCATAATATAGGGAATAAAAAAGAGATCCTTAGGGGAAGCTAGGTGGTGTAGTGAACAGAGCACCGGGCCTGAAATCAGGAGGACTTGCGTTCAAATCTAGCCTCAGACCAAACAGTTGGCACTTACTAGCTGTGTGACCCTGGGCAAGTCACTTCACTCCAATTGCTTAAAAGAGAGAGAGAGAGAGAGAGAGAGAGAGAGAGAGAGAGAGAGAGAGAGAGAGCGCCCCTCAGAACTTCTGAATATAGAAAATGAAATGCCAATTAAAAGAATTCATGGATAACCTCCAGGGGAAAAAAAAACACAAGATTAAAAAAGAAAAATTATACAAATTAGAGAAAGAGAGAGGGCACTAGCAATTGGAGAGATATTTCATGGAAGATAGTGTAAAAGTAGCAAAGTAATAATAATATATTTTACATAAGCATTCATTCAGTAAACATTCATTAAGCACTTACTGAGTTCAAGAAAGTTTGTATAGTATTTCAGAGTTCATAAAACATTTTCATAAGCATCACCTTTGAGAGAGGTAGAACATGGATTGGTCGCCACTTTACAGATAATGAAAATGAAGCTTAAAGAATATAGAAAATAAGTGGTGGAATCTCTAGAATTGAGTTTTTCAGATAGTGTGATGGTATAATATAGCATTACATTTGGAGTCAGAGAACTGAATTTGGGATTTAATTCAAGTAAGTCCAAGTGGAGAGCAAAGACAAATTCTCTCCAGTAAGACAGACACAGAGAGGCAATGACTCCAGGGAGGAAGCAATTTCAAGGATTATGGTCTCTGGCAGCAAAGATGGGAGCGACTGCAGACAGAATGTGTTCCCCACATGTATGCTTCTCTATCATTGTATGCTAAGTCTGTGCTTACTTTTCATACAGGTGCTACATGTATTTATGAGAGAGGGTACCTTAGGTTGATGGGAAGAATTTTAGTAGCTATCATTCTTACTATGCCATTTTAGTACATGCCATTGTCTTGAGTTAATTCTGGCTGCTGGCTGATTGTTAACAGGAAGCACATCAGTGAGACCTTATGAGCTACAATTTTAGAAGCTCCCATAGCAGGTGCCCTTTGAAATAGAGTAGCAACCACCCTCTATGACCCAATTCATGAGTACAAGTTGGGGGAAATAGCCCAGAAAGGGTGTTGCATATACAAAACTCTTTTTGTTTTGTCCCTAATAAATGGTTTGGGGATTTGAAAGTGAGTAAACTCCAAATATTTGATGTCTGAAACACGTAAGATTAAACATGACAGAGGCTATTATGAGGAACTGACACAAGTTGTTTTGAGGAAAATACCTGGTGAATTTTAAAACATTATTGGCATCAGAATTTTTTATTAATAGTCCCTATAGCTAATAAGAAATGTCCAGAATTCAAATTTCAGCATTTATACTTTCAGAATTGGTTTACTTGGGAATGAATGAATGAAAAAAGTATTTATTAAGTGCCTACTCTGTACAAAGCATTGTGTTGTCATGAAAATGTTAAGTGGAAAATGTCAAAATTTCAGCTCCTTTTAAATGGGGATGGTTTTATTCCTTGTAGTTGTATCTCTACCATCTAACATACTACCTGGCACAAAGTAGGTGCCTAGTAAATGCTTATTGATTGATTGATTATTAGAAAAACAAGACAGACTCTACTCTCAAGGAGCTCCTCCTGTTCTACTAAGGGAAGATAATAGCTATAGGAAGGGTCAAGTCATATTGTCATGTCCAGTGAACCTTAGGGTGCAGCTGCAGAACAAGTAGTAATATGTCTTCTTAATGTCATTTCTATTTATCAAACTATACCCGTTTCAGATGTTGAACCATTTGGACCATGGCCAAGGATTTGGCATAAGAACTTTCTTTTCCGGGACTTCGGTGGCTGTGGCTACTGAAGAGGCACCTGCAGAGGCAATAGCTACACCTCCACCAGGGCTGCTCTCCCAGGTGATGGTGGCAGGGGTTGGGCTAGAATCAGGTCTAGTGATCTTGGAGGTGCTGCTATTCCCAGGCTTTCGGACCTAACTTCCTGTCCTTGGATATCAGTTTACTCTTGGGGTTGCTTGCTCTAGGAATGGCAGGATCATTTTCTAAAATCATTAACCTCCTATTGCGGGTCCTGCAATTTTTAGGACTCTTGGGTGCTTGGTCCTGAGCTGTCTTCACTGGGGTATGAAGGCAGGAAACAGTTAAAGTACCAGTTTGAGAAAGTGATCTCTAGGTCCCTTGTAGCTCTCAATCCTCAGTCCTAAGATCTTATGATCTGGCCCCATAGAGTGAAGTCCATGATACTGGAGAGCTTTATTCTGAGGTTCAGATTCTTCACAAAGAGATAAAATAGTAGAAGTTGTGTGGCCTTGATGTTTGCTTGTTTGTTTTTATTTTGTTTTTAGGATACAGAATCTATTTTTTCTCAGAATTATATCCATGTTGAAGGGTGAAGAGAAATGAGCAGGTTGAAGGTCCTAAGAATTCTATAGTAAAAAAAACACAGGGTGGTGTCAGGAGATCTACTTTTTTTGTCTTATGTGCTGTCTGTGTTACCTTGGGTAAGTCAATACCCCCTTTCTAAGCCTGAGTTTCCTCATATAAGGGTGATATTTGATGATCTCTTAAGTTTTCTTTAAAGTTCTTACAGTCTCTGACAACATTAACTCATATTTAAGGCTGTTAAAGTACTCTTTCCACAATACTGCATGCTATGTCAAGCATAATACTTGTTTTGCAGATGAGGACCCTGAAGACTGGAGAGGTTAGCTACTTGACGACAGTTGCACAGCTAGTAAATATCAGAGGTGAGACTTAAACCTAAATCTCCTGATTCTGTAGCCATGTTTTGTTCCAACGTACCACACTGCCTCTACTGGGTGTAAAATCCCTTTTGCCTCTACTGGGTGTAAAATCCCTTTTTGTTCAAGCAGTCTTTTATTTTATAATTCTAAAGCTTCTTCCAGATTTGACATTCTGTGTTCTATGGTTCTAAGGCCCATTCCTGCCCTGACATTCTGTGTTCTATGATTCTAGGGACCCCTTCCAGTTCTGGCATTCTATGTACAATGCTTCACACTGGCCACTAACAGTTTGGTGAGTTGTGCTGTCAGGAGAGCTCTTTCAGGCTCTGTAATTGATGGGCTGCTCTGAGAACACAGGGACACAGGGGCAGTGTAGGTGAATAATCTAGGTCAGCCAGGTGGAGAGACCTGCTACAAGTTAGAAATCAGAGCAGCAGATCTAAGAATGTGAGCAAGAAACCCAACCAGTAAAAGCTCTCTCTGGCAGGAAAAGCTACTGATTCTGGGGATATGAATATTTCTGCCTGTGAGGATCTGAACAGGCTGAGGCCAGGGAGGCTGTTAGGGGAGAGGGGAGCAGAAGCGGGGGGAGGGAAGGGAACAAAGCAAGTCCTGTGGAGTACAGAGTGTCCTGCTAGACTGTATGACTAGCTAGAGGGCCAAGCCCTGGGGAGAACCACCTTGAGGGCTGAACTATGTGAGGTACAACCAAGGGTGGTCAGCTGGGGTGGAGAAAGCTTTAGACTGGGAGCCATAAGGCCATGGCATAAGTCTTGACTTCTCTCCTTTGCTCTGAGACTTTGGGTGTGTTATTTATCTCTGAAGCATCTGTTTTCTAATCTGGAATGATAATGCTAGCTGGCCTTGATGTCACACTTATCAATAGGGCTGCTGCTCACCATAAAAGGAGTGTTACAGGAAACATTTAAGTATCTACTATACACAGAGCACTGTGTTAGGTACTCAGAGAAATAGAAAGTTTAGAAAACCATAGTCCCTGGCTTTATGAACCTCACAAGTAGCTAAAATGAACATGTTCACCTCATCCTATGAGTGGTATTAAGGGAAAAACTTTGTAAAATCTGCTTATGTACGTATGTGCTGTTTGAACTAGGTGAACTCTAGAGATTAGGTTTCTTTGTTTTTTGTTTGTTTTATTTTTTGCTAGACCTCCTTAGTACAGGTAGGTACTGAAGTCAATCAATACATGCATAAGCATTTATTAAACCCTTACTATATGCCAAGAATTGTAAGAAGTGCAAAGAATACAAATAAATGCAAAAACATAGTCCTCATCTTCTAGAAGCTTACATTACCATGGAGGAGACAGTATGCAAATACAACTGTACATGCAAGATGCAGAGCATCAGTGGGAGGCAGTCCTGGAGGTAACACAAGCGGGTGGGGGCAATAAATCAGCGGGAAAGATCTCCTATACAAAATGGTATTTGGAAAGCAGGAGATGGAGGTGAGGAAGGATGGCATTTCAGGCATATGGGATAGTTAATAAAAAGGCACAGAGTCAGAAGATGGTATGTCCTATGGTAGAATAGTAAGAAAATCAGTGTTGCTGGATTATAGAGTATGTCGAGAAGAGTAAAATGTAAAAAAATTGGAAAGATAAGAAAGGGCCAGGTTATGAAAGGCTTTAGATGCCAAATAGAAGATTTTATATTTGATCCTGGATGTAATAGGGAGCTATTGGAGTATTCTGAGTGGACGCATGAGCTTAGGGAAAACCTCTTTGGCAGCCAAATAGAGCAGAAGTGTCAAACATGGGATTTTGGGCTGCATGCAGAGCTCCCAACACTCCTAGATGTGGCCCTAACCAGATTAAAATGTAATTGAGAAATATTAAACAAAATAAATTGATAGGAAGAAATATATAAACATATATGGTTTTCTAATATGCAGCCGTTGGAAATCCTTATGTACAGCAATGTAGTGGCCCACATTTCTGTTTGAGTTTGACACCAATGAAGGGCAGGATGGATTGACTGGTTAAGAGGCTTGTGTCAAGGAAACCAACTATCAGGTGTTGTAATAGACAAGGTATGAGGTGATGAGAACCCGCATCAGTATGGTATCAGCTTATGTGAGTGAAGAGAAGGGGACATACAAGGGAGATGTTATGATGGTAGAAATCATAGGACTTAGCAATAGACTGAATATGTGGAGTGGGTATGAAAGCAGAGTAGAGGGTGAAACCAATCCTGGCTAAGTGGAAGGACGATGGTGCCTTAGTAATAGGGAAGTTTGGAAGAAGAGAATATGTGGGTAAAAGATACTAAGTTATATTTTTGAGATGGATATGAGACACCTGCCTATAGAAGGTCCACTTTGAATTGTCCAAAAGGCAGTTGGGTAGCTGATGTAAGACTGCAGTTCAGGAAAATGGTTAGGGCTGTATATATACATACACACACACATACATATATATGTATGCATGCATGTGTGTGTGTGTGTGTGTGTGTGTGTGTGTGTGTATGTGTGTGTGTATCTGGCAATCATCGTTTTGGAGATGATATTGGACTCGTGATCTGATGAGTTCAAGTGAGATAGTATAGTGCAGGAAGAGCAGATAGCTCAGTTCCCTGCTTTGAGGGAAACCCAGAGTTTATGAGAGCGACCTGGATGGAAATCCAGCAAAGGAGACTGAGAAGGAAAAATAAGATGGGTAAAATGAGAACCAGGAAAAAAAAAGCATAAAAAAAAACTAAAGGGAAAAGTGTATTTGGTAAAAGGGTAATCAACAATGTCAAAGGTTGCAGAAGTAATGAAGGATGAGGGCTGAGAAAAAAGCTGTTGGATTTGAAAATTAAGATATCTATTGGTGACTTTGGAGAGAGCAATTTGAATTGAATGATTATATCAGAAACTAAATTGCAGAGGGTTTAAAATTGAGTAAGAGGAAGGTAAATGGAAGCAGTGAGTATAGACAACTTTCTCAGAGTAAGGGAACCATATGGAACACACACACACACACACACACACACACACACACACACACACAAAAGATATACTATATGAAACCATGAATCTCCATTTCATAGTGCTTACTTCTTTAAAAAAAATTAAACTTCTTTCAAAACTGTCCTGCTTCTCTGTACTTACTTTTGAATTTTCTTATGTTCTCTATGTATTTTTAAGTGTGCTACAATGCCCCCCTCTCTCTTTTGAGCTTCACTGTTTCTAAACTCCTTTGTCTCCCAACCTGCCCTCCCAATTGAAAACCAAGAGGAAAAAAAAGAGGAAAAAAACCTGAATCTTGTAACAAGCATAGTCAAACAAAATAAATCTGTACAATAACATTTCCAAAAATGTATGCTAATCTGACTGTTAATGGTTAAATGTAAACGGAGTACAGAAGACCACCCCCTGCAATTGGAGGACACACAGTCAATGGAGATTGGAGTCATTGGTAGAGAGCCTAGACATCCCCCAACATCCCCAAAGCACACCAAACAACCCAAGGGGAGCAATGAGAAATATAACCCACCTCACCTTCAGGCAGTGAGAGCCGGGGTAGTCTGTATTATGGTTCCTCTCACATCACTCTCTATGTGTGACTATGTTCAACTTTCCTTTATGCACCTGAGATAAAAATGAGGTTCATCTCCTGCTCCCCCCTTCTCCATGTTTGCATACTCTTCCTTGAGTACTTAGATGATATACCATTAAATGTACATATTAAGTTATGATATTATTTCACTATGATGCCTTTAAGCAACATGCAATTTATATTTATCTCCTTTAACCATGTCTATTTTTACTGTTGCCTGTCAGAAATCATGATTGCTAGCCCTGCTTTTTTTATTTGCCTATGAAGCATAATAAATTGTGTTGCACCCACAATTTTAACTCTGAGTGAAACTTTAAGTGTATTTCATCTAAACAAATACTGTTAAATTCGGCTTTCTTATCCATCATGCTACAGTGCTCCATTTGTGGCAGAGTTCATCCAATTCATGCTCAGGTTTATGATTGATAATTGTGCATTTCCCTCTATCATTTCTTGTTTTACTTTCTTCCTCTCCCATCCCCTCCTAATCCCTCTTGTATTCATTTACAGCTTATTTTGATACAGGACATGAGATGTTGGTTTGTACCTAGTTTGTACCAAGCTGCTGTGCAGTTTTCCTAGCATTTTTTTTTTTTGTCCAATAGCGAATCATTTCTCCAGGAACTAAGCTACTAGATATATTAGCTTCAGTATGTTGTATACCTAACGTGTCACCAAGCTGTATCTTGTTTGTTATCAATCTCTCTTCTTTTAACCATTAACAAAGAATTTTTATTATGATACTACCGATTTGCACTTTAGTTTGAAATTTGTTACTGTTAGGTCGCCTTTATTTCCACTGTTTTATTTTCATTATTTTCCTTTGGTTCCTCAAATAAATTTTGTTATTACTTTTTTAACTTTAAAAAATAATTCTTTTGTAGCTTGAATACAACACTGAATAACTAAATTAACTCAGGAAGTATAATTTTTTTAGTATATTGGCTCAGCCTATCCATGAACAATTAATATTTTTCTAATTACTTAGTTCGTATTTATTTCCAAAAATATTGCCGTGTAATTGTATTAATATGTTTTTCTTTGTCTTGAAAGGTAGAATCCCAAGTATTTTATGTATTCTGCAATTGTTTTTAATAGGATTTTTTTCTTTCTAACGCTTCCTGGATTTTATTGGTAATGTAAAGAAATGCTGATTATTTATATAGACTAATTTTATACCCTCCAACTCTACTTGTTATTATTCATTTCAAATAATTTTAGTTGATTCACTAGGGTTCTCTGAGTATACCATTGCTGTGATAATTTTGTTTGCTTTTGTTTGTATTGTTCTCTCCATTTCTTTTTCTTGTCTTGTTGCTATTTATTTCTAATATTACAACAAATAGTGATGATAATGGGCATCCTCACTTTATTACAAATCTTAATAGAAAAGCCTCTAGTTTATTTCCATTATGTATAATACTGGCTCTTTATTTTAGATATATTATATTTATTATGTTAAAGAAAGATTCATTTATTCCTATTCTTCCTAGTGTTGTAACAGACTGTTTTTGTCAAAAGCTTTTTTGATTTTTTTTGATTATTTGATTTTAATTATTTATATAATAACATTATTTTCTTTTTGTTATTGATGTGGTCTATTATAATATTATCATTATATGTTATAAATTATTATAATAAAATATAATATTATAACGGTTTTCCTGTTATTGGATCAATCCTACATTCCTAGGAGAAATCCAATCTAGAGTGTAATCTTTTTCATGTCT